CGAGAATTATTTAATGTGATTGTTGCTTCAGCATACTTTGTTTCTTCTACATTTGCCTGATTTGTCTATGTGGTGCGTAGGAACCAATCCCTGTCACACAGCTGGTGAGGGAAACTGCTGCTGTCATGCAGGAATTCACCCAATCAGGGTAACCACTGTTTATTCCATAATTCCACTTTACAAAGAGGGTCCTATAAAATGTATACTGGTCATATTTCAAATCTTTCAGTTGTCTTGTATTTGTCCTTTGAGGCTATTGTTGCCTTCATTTTCTTGCAGAATCTGGTTGATGGACCTGTAGTTGAAAAAATAGTATATCATGTAGAACTTAATATCATTTGGCTATTGAGAAATAGAAATTTAAATAGGATGAAATAGTGCTCCCTTATCTGAATATCATGAAAATGTTATCTATATTGAATTTATTTCTTCCTCCCCTTCTCTTTCTGAGATTTTGTCATTAAGTCACCTTCCTTTCTTTTCCCATACTGCTTCCTTTTTGTTGCTTGGGTTAAAAGTTAAAACTATCAACTGAAAGCAGGCAAAGCCAGATCTTTCTTGAAATTAATCCAGATTCCTAATCTGTATCTATTCATGATTTTCTTTTTGCTGTTCAAGAAAGAGCTCATACTTTGTAGCCTTCTTGGGCTATCCCTTTTATTTTTCTGTTTTCTCCGGTGCAGTGGTGTAAGGCCATTTGGTGTTTCACTCTTGGTTGCGGGATTTGATGACAAGGGTCCCCAACTATATCAGGTATGTTATCTATCTGTGTTGGTGTGATCTCTCAGTATCGTTTTCTGTTCTTGAGGTGTGGCTAATGGTGGTTTATACTTTCGTCAGATGAATCTACATATTTATATAGGTTTTCTCCATGGTGCTTCAATTATTACTATGAAAAGGGGGTTTTATTCTTTGAAAAGCTTTTTTACTGAGCTGCAGATTTCTCTGTTGCTTGAACTCCTTTTATACTCAGTTTATTTTTCTCATTTTAGGTGGATCCATCTGGTTCATACTTCTCTTGGAAGGCTTCAGCTATGGGGAAGAATGTCTCTAATGCGAAGACATTTCTCGAGAAGAGGTGAATCATTCATCAAATTTTGTAACTCCTTTTTTCTTATTTCTAGTGCTATCTTTTTAACGTTTCAATACTGGTTCGGCAATCGAAGTTACTGTCTGATTTAATGTATAAATTGCCAGTTTTAGAAGGCTCATCTTGACCAGCTACCTCATGCTTTAGTCCCTTATAATTTTGGTAAAATGAGAGCAATACAATACCTCTTCAGTCCTCAATGACCCCTAACTAATTCTTCATCCCATCAATGATGGACTGTCTCGATCATTTACATTGCGTCATCTTTGTAGCAACCTGCTATTAACACTCCACACTACTCCTTGCGCTTCCCCTTCTTTTGCCAAAAGTTGGAACAACGCTTAATGCGTGGGACATTCTTCACTTCGTGAATATGTCAATGATTTACATCCTGTTCTATTCTATTATCTGGATATGCCAAGGGGTATTACCCAAACCAAGTTGTAATTTATAAGTGTAATCATGAAGCCAAACCTTCATGGCAACCGAAGGTGGGTGGGGGTGAAAAAGGAGAAATTATGTATTCATGCATGAGTTTAATTGCACTTAATGAATGAGCTAGGACCTAGGAAGAGGGTTGTTGGTAATGAAACAACTGATTTTGTTTGAAACAAGGCGCTAGCATAGGGTTTCTGCTCATATTGCTATGTGACGGCAGTTGGCGCTTGCAATTGGAAATTATAGGTCAAACTTTGACATGCCCTTGGAGGATGTTAACCAGTTTTCTCTCCCACGATGTCAAACATTAACATTGTCTCATTGGCCAACTACTGAGCCAAGTTGGGGTGCTTCTTGCTCTGTCCAATTATACTGTTGAATTTCTAATTAACATTTAAAATAATGTTCCNTAATGTTCATGTTCCTCTCAGGTACACGGAGGATATAGAGCTCGATGATGCTGTACACACTGCTATACTGACTCTAAAGGAGGGGTAAGATTAACTTCTTCCTCTATCCAGGAGCTGTGTACTCTATATCTGAATTGTCCCCTCCGATGGGGTGTCTCTTCGACCCTTCTGTTTCTTTTGGAAGAGGAAATGGTTTTGATGTCCGCTATAATTCGCTTCATTTAGTTAACAAAAGAATTAAAGCAAGGCTTATCTGTATCTTCATGTCAAATGTATGGTACCAAAATCTGTGCATGCAAAACTTCTGAGTCATGACTACTGTCACCATTGCTCGCTTGTTGTGCAGTAATGGTCCTCAGAGCAAAGTATCTTTAACGACGTTATGTCCCCCATTCCCGATGCCCCAACTGTGTAATGAGCTTTTCAATATAATTCTTAATATCAAAAGAATCCTTAAAAGAACCTTATTTTTGGTGTTCATCCAGATTCGAGGGACAGATCTCTGGCAAAAACATTGAGATTGCCATTATTGGAACTGACAAAGTATTTAAGTAAGTGTCTTCTTGTCCTTAAAATATAAATTTTGTTCGCTCTTTAATGAGAAATTTAACATTTGTTCACTCTTTTAGCTGGTTGGTTACTAAAACAGTAGTTCGTTTCGTTGCAGAGTTCTAACGCCAGCGGAAATAGATGATTACCTACAAGAAGTGGAATAGATTTTCTTTTCCGCTTAAGACATTGGAAAAAGTTGTCAGATTGGAAGCGCAGACCCCATAGCACAACTATTGGATGTTCTTGTTGGCTTGATTATCACTTGACTTTAATCAAACTAGACTTAGTTGTATGTTGGCCATGTTGTGGTTATTTATTGCCTGATGTATGCTCTGAAAAGTTATACGGGGTTTTCTTTTCTCAGTTTCTTGAACATACAGATTGTTCTGTGTTACCTGAAACACATGACAGTAGAGAAAAGCATTATATTATTTGAGCAACCCTCTTGACGTCAGAGAAATGGATTTGAAAATAGAGGGGATATATAATTATTTGCTCTGCATTTTCATTTTTATTAACTAGAGAAGCATATATAATTGGTGGAACTCCATTTTCTACCAGGAGAGACAAATTCTTCGCCCATTGACCAGCTAAAATTGTTTATATGGGCTTTTTTTTTAATCTTTTAGTTTTACTCTATTTCATAGGACTATTTACTTGAAAATCAATTTCATTAGTTAAGGAAATTATAAAGGTAGACGCATTGAGTTTTTGGCATACTGAAAAGGTAGAGGAAATTATGATGTCAGAAATTTTATGTTTGCACATGAAACAAGAGTTGTCATAATCAATGCAAAAATGACTTTAATTCCACAAAGAGAAGGATACAATAAGAAAAGACATCCAAACTAAGAGCTTATAGTCCGTTTGGATTGGCTTAAAAAAAGTGGCTTTTAAGCACGGTGCTTAAAAACACTTTTTAAGTGCTGGAGCTCGTTTTATAAATAAGCAGTTATGTGTTTGGATAAAAGTGCTTAAACTGAAAAAAAGTTGTTGAAGTGTTTGGTAAATAAGTGCCGGTAAGCACGCTTTTTTCTGTTAAAATGATTGAAATATCCTTAAAGTTGTAGTATGTTATTTTTGGAAAATTTCCTTCAAAAAAATTGGAAAAAAATATTTGTGTTTAGATGAGTTTTCATTTGAAGTTACTATATTTAGTGCTATATATTTGTTTCAACTTTTTCAAATATTTTGTATTTTAGTATTTGTACAAGACAAACGATTATGACATTGTTTGTTTGACAATATAAAAGAAACGCTCAAAACATAAAGAATTTCAAGAAAATAATTATTAGTAAATATACTATCAAATCAGGAGGAGTAAAATAAAAATACGGTTATGATTATTTACGTGAGAAGAAATCATGAAAATAAAATCAAGGCACAAAAATTAAAAAATAGGGATAGGCAATAAAAGATGTGCTATAGAAATGGCATTAGGGAATCCCAACTTATTTTTTATAGCTTAAAAGTTGGTTGGGTTTGACCATTTAATTTACTCCTTTACAGAGGCGGATCCAGGATGTTTGAAGGATGAGTTCACTATTACTTTTTTTAAAAAAAATTAAACCAAAAAGTTGGTAAGAGATTTGATCCCCTGACCTTAGGCTATTGGAAATAAGAGACCAAAACCAGTGCACCACTTAGTCTCTTTTGACCATGGGTTCCATAAAGTATATATATCTATTTTTTTCAAATTATGTACATCATATCCATACTTTAACCCGAGGACCACGGGTTCACGTGAACCATGTTTCACATGGTAGATCCGCCTCTGCTCCTTTATCCCTAATAATCTTTTATTTTCCCAAAACCCTTCAAAGCCAAAAGCCCAAACGTTCTTTTCCTTCTCCTCCCTCCATTGTTCCCATTTTTGTCAACCATTTCTAATGCCATTTCTATGGCACATCTTTTATTGCCTATCCCTATTTTTTAATTTTTGTGCTCTGATTTTATTTTCATGATTTCTTCTCACGTAAATAATCATAACCGTATTTTTATTTTACTCCTCCTGATTTGATAATATATTTACTAATAATTATTTTCTTGAAATTCTTTATGTTTTGAGCGTTTCTTTTATATTGTCAAACAAACAATGTCATAATCGTTTGTCTTGTACATATACTAAAATACAAAATATTTGAAAAAGTTGAAACAAATATATAGCACTAAATATAGTAACTTCAAATGAAAACTCATCTAAACACAAATATTTTTTTCCAATTTTTTTGAAGGAAATTTTCCAAAAATAACATACTACAACTTTAAGGATATTTCAGTCATTTTAACAGAAAAAGTGTGTTTACCGGCACTTATTTACCAAACACTTCAACAACTTTTTTTTAGCTTAAGCACTTTTATCCAAACACGTAATTGTTTATTTATAAAACAAGCTCCAACACTTAAAACGTGCTTTTAAACACCGTGCTTAAAAGCCACTTTTTTTAAGTCAATCCAAACGGGCTCTAAATGGTACATAAGCAACAACTAACAAGAGCAAAAACAATGTCTTAGATCCTAGTCTCAAGTTTATCAGCTTTGCAGAGAGGATTTTCCTTGGCCAAAATCACACGGCCTCTAGACTTAAAATCAAAATTGCATGTATGTTCCTCTGGATACCTATGAACTCCACAAAACATTCCTCCACACCGACAATTGAAACTTATTAATCCCAATTTTTTCTTGCAAATCATGCATCTTTGCTTCTTCATCATCAAACCAACGTTCCCAGTTGTAGCAGAATCAGAATCATCAACAGTAAGAGACGATATCTTCTCCGATAAGGCTATCACATTCTTGGCTTCTTCTTCTTTCAGAAAAGCTTTGTAGCATTGGGAACAAAGGTTGTGATTGCTTGGGTTTCCATAGAAACCGCAACCCCTTGCACATAGACTTGTGTTTTCTGCTTTGCCACTAGAAGTCATCTTTCTTCGAGTTAATTACCTCTTTCTTCTACAAATTTTCTTGACGTTTTAGATATTATATTTGATTAGTATTTCTTAGCAAGAGAGCGAATTATTAGTGTTGGTGATGGTGTACGTAGCTCTTTGTTGATGAGTGCCGCTCCTGCCTTTGGTTGTGATATATATCGGACATAAGCTGGTAATCCAAATGGGAACCAAATTAGGACTTTCCTAAATTTTTTGTTTCCTTTCCCACCTCTGTTTGGTTTTAGTTTTTGTTTGGTTCGGGAAAATTAATCTTGTGGAATCCTTAACCAACACGGATTTCTTAATAGGAAATATATTACTCCTATTGACCAATAACCATGCACGTTATCGAAGGAATACCTGTCTCTCTCGCTCTTTCTCTGTCCTTGTTCATTTTAGAATTGATTCACAAGCCAAAAATATTTTAGTTTTGAAAATTTGTTGCATGAAAAACTTTACTGCGTTAAGGTTTCTTTCTTTGCACTTGCACTGTAGAATATTTTGCTTTTTAAATCAAATTTTAATGAATATTCTGATTTTATAGACGTTACTTGTGCACATTTTTTGACGCGTGCTTATAAATAGGATGAATTGAATTGCATAAATGAAAGAAATTAAATATAAATTATACACATCTTCCATTGAAATATTTGTAACGAACAACGCATTAGAGATCGATAAATGAGATCAAATGCCAAAAGTATGGAGTATTATAAGCTGCAGGGGCGGAGCTACGGTAGTGGATGCGGGGACTTTTCTTGGGATCCTGTATTTGTATTGAAAAATTTACCGTTTCTATATAAATATATCACATCGAACCAGTAGCAAAAGGGATCTGATATCTGTGAGAGAATAACTTCCCCAAACTAGGGTATCTGATAAACGAGAAGATAGAAATTGCGAATTATCTTTAACCTACCTATTATATTTAGTATTATAGATGATTGCTATTCAAAATATAAATTCATTATATAAATTCACTACTAGCTGTAAGTAGCTCTTGTAGCTCAGTTGGTTAGAGCACCCGTTTAGTAAGCGGGAGGTCTTGAGTTCGACTTTAATGAGAGCAAACAGAAAATAAATCTGCTATTTTGCTGCTCCGCGCTGTACTTTTGAGTTTTGAGCTTTGGTTTCCCCCATCTGACAGTCAACTGCCTATGCAAATGAAGAAGGGAAACCTGTTCTAATCAGGAACAACATAATATATCCCGTGCTTTAGCATCAACTTTTTTGGCTTTCTTTACATGAAAAATACTCATTTTTTTTATCACATGCTTTGTCAATTTTCATAACTCTTTTGGTCCCAGGTTAGAAGAAACAACCCCAACTAGCCAACAAATAAAATGGCTTTCGGGGAAGGAAACAAGGAACTTGATTTATCAAAGGTACAATGTTGCTCTCTCGGGTCAGCGACAAATGCATTTATAGATTACTGTCAAATCATGTGGCAAGATAAATGGTAACCAAATGTTCGATTGACACAGTTGTTTCCAAATAATGCAGAAAAACACAAGACAATGCCTGCCAAATCTGAGCAAAGTTGTAGGTGCAAAATCAACTACATGTCGATTGGTGTGACTACAAACCGCAAAATAAATGCAAAAAACCAGAAACACAGGATACAGGTTTAAAGGATGAAGCACGATAGTTTCAACATTTTCTCGTGAATTTATGTGTTTTCTTAGGTTCCACATTACCAAAATTTCTATAACTTTTTGCTTTATCCAAAAGGAAAAGATGAATTACGGCCAAAGCCAGTAGCGGTCGAGTACCAAAGGCTGGACCTTCATGCATCTATTTAGTGCATAGATAGTTATCATCAACAGCTTGAAGCTTAGAACAATATAACCAGGAACAAATGAAGTCAGTCTCAAGCAAACATTTTCACCTAGCTTGTAGTGCAAAAAGCATGTAATCTAGAGAAAGATAAGTTACAAAATTACTCTAGATTCTCAAGCAGCTAGATACAATTTTGGAGCATCGACAGAGCAAATCAAGCCTGGAACTATCTTCTATGGATCATCTTCAAGGTAGCAGATTTGATCCTTTTGATGGCACTAATCAAAATATATGTATGGCTTCCAAAAGATCCGCATAAAATTATAGGGCATGTCACCACCACCCTCCATCTACAAGTAATCATCTGATCATCAAGAACAGAAAGTTGTGAGCTTCTCGTTTTCTTTTTTTGTACAATAGAAATGTGATAAGTACAAAACAACGTGACCACCAATCATAGGAAACCAGAAAAGGCAGCAGAAATGGAAAAAACACTCATCTCTTATACACACTAAACTAATTTCATTGGTGATGTTTATAGCTCATTCAGAAGTCATATGCAGCTTTAACATAATAGCTAGTATAGTGCAGACATGACTCTGAAAGATTGCCACACATGACAGATCTGTTCCTCAAATATGTGCCTTATATTGAGGAAGTTCACAACATGAGAGAATTCACTTCCCATTTCATCAAGAATAACTTGTGTGATATTTAAGTCATACAACATTAGCGTCAAAACTTTTTGATAACATAGTGTCACATATAATAAGACATTTCACAATATGAATATCTATGCATCAACTTTCCAATCATTGTAAACTTCACTCCACTGTTTCGAGCATAATTAATGCCACTAGCTCCCAGGAATCCTTAATTTCCAATGTGCATTAACACCTTTCCGGGTTTGAGATTGGCTATGATTGAAAAAAAATCCACAAATTGTGTATCAAGGTAGAATTATCATAATGCAAAAACAGGATTCTGAGTGTAAACTAACTCAAAAGATTCCGAACAAGAATAAAGTAAAACTGATAAACCCCGAAAAACCAGATACAGTAAATTAACAGCTGCTAGAAGATCATACCATCAATATCCGATAATTGACAATCTCACAGAGATGGTATATCAACTAACAATGCCACTTCAAAAAGAAAGGTATTCGTATTTCATCAGAGTTAATACCAATCGACTAGGGATCCAACATTTTAGCTGTATGGGTTCGGAATTTCTGAATCTACCACTCATTTTATTTTCAGGATCAGAACATATCATTTGGACGTATTCAGTGAGTTTTTAACACATATATAAGGTTCGAGACAAAGCTATTAGGTCTGGTTGAACCCGTACATCCAATCATGCACAAGCACTTGTGTGAATTGGATTGCGATCTAAATCACACAAAACACACAGAATGAATCAAGAAACAGAAAAAGTCAGTCACCGGCTTGTGAAGTGCGGTTTAGAGCGTTTAAGCTTTTGAAGGTGCAGTTGTGACTCCATAATAAGTTTCATTCTCTGAATTTCCAAGTCCTTTGCGAATTGCATTCTTTGCTTCTCCAACTCCAACATTTGCCTCTGCTTTGCCTTTTCTACTCTTTCATATATCTCCCCAAACCTCCCTATTGCCTCAGCTATCCTCCTATAACCATCCCCCTCTACCATCCCCCCACCACTCCTCTTTCTACTTGACTTCTCCGATCCCTCCTCATCCTCTTCACCTGAATCCTCAGACGCAGCCGCCGCCGCTGCTGCCATGGCCGAGAAATTCCTCCGTGACACCGTGTAATCCATAGCTGCCGCTGGGCGCTTCGACCGGAAACCAACTGGTATGCCAAATAGCGGCGGAGGAAGCAGCGGTGGAGACGATCTCCATTGAGGAGTGAACGCCGCCGTCGAAGGCGACGGAGACTTTCTACGTTGAGGAATGACCGTTTCCGGCGACGGAGACGGCGAGACTTTGTAGGTGACGCCGATGAGGGCGTTGAGGCTGCTGAAGAAAGGCCACGTGGAGACATAAAGTCCTTGAGATTGAGAAACCCTAGCCTTCTCGATCTTGTACTTCTTCTTTAAGGTGTCAATGCGGTTTTTGCACTGTATGTCAGTGCGGTATTGCTTTTTGGTGTGGCCGTGAAGGGCGTTGACAGCGTCGGCGACTTCCTGCCATTGCTGGTGCCGGAGATTTCCGCGATTGAGCTCCACGTACTTGGAACCCCATGCCTCTACTAAAGTATGTGTCGCTGCCTCTGACCAGCAATCTTCTCGAGCTGGAAAAACTGGCGTCCGAGCTGACATCGACGCCGGGTTAAGAATTGGAGGTGGAGGCAATGCTAGTAGCTTGTTGTCTGTACAAGGCGGCGGAGGTGACGGTGACGGCGACGGCGACGAAGAAGGAGAGTTTTTAATGGAGAAGGGCGGGGCTACGCGGTCGTCGTCGTCGGACATAGTGCGGGAACGTGAAGCGGCGGCAACGCCGGCTGATGGGAAATGAGAAGTAGTGGAGGAATTAGGGTTAGAAGAACAGTCCAGTGAGGGGTTACCAGTATGGCCGTGTCGACGGATCATTGGGTGCCGACGAGAGGGAATAGAGTGTAGT